TCTTTGATTTTATACTAATTATTATAAAAATCTGTCTTTTAGGGGTTCGTATTTTTATTTTGCTTGATGTATACTGTATAGTGATTTTAAATATATATGTATATCAACATTAAATTTTTTACTTTCATATATCTTGTTATCTTGTTTTTACTAGGGTGCTAAGAAGGTACATTTTATTTTACTGTATCTGTTTGTCCATTGTATCTGTTTGTTCATTGTATCTGTTTGTTTATATCTTTTATATATAATTATTATTAATACCTTATTATTATAGGTTATCATTAGTGCACCGAGTGCCGATGCACCAATGTTTGTTTGCGGTGTAAATTTGGATGCCTATAAGTCCGAGTATAAAGTGATCTCAAATGCATCTTGCACTACCAATTGTTTGGCCCCATTAGTCAAGGTTATGAATGATGAATTTGGCATCATTGAAGGGTTGATGACTACGGTTCATTCTACAACTGCCACGCAAAAAACTGTTGATGGTCCTTCCGGCAAGGTATAGTTTATGAAAAGGTTACTTAATAATTCTTAATTATTATTAACCCGTAATTAAATTTATAATTTTAGGTATATCTGTATATATATATTGTATATACTGTATAAGTTTATTATATAGTTTATTAATGTAATAACTAAAATGATAAATATTTGTGTTAGCTTATCCAAGAAATACCGAATCTTTACTTGCTGAAAAATTACCAATTCTTCTTGACAAAGTTGAAGATGAAATTATTTTGGTAACACATGTTGGACCCTCTAAAGTTGGAACAACTGAGGTGGACAAATTTCCGTTGCGGGATCCACCGATTGAATCTGGCAGGTAACAAAGAATTATCGCGATTTTTAATATTTATATGAGATTTCATTTTTTTTATCAAAATTTCTTTATATTCACATATACACTATATATACTGTACAATTTATTGTATATACACACACTCAATATATATGTATACATATATATATGTGTAATCAGTTCAACTATACGCGATATCCTCGAAAAAAGAACACCATTATCATCAGAAAATTCATCTCAATGTAACATTATGTTTAATATTCACGGTCATTCACATTATCCTTTTGGGCTTTCACATTTAGGCCAAACTTTTATAATTAATCCTGGTCCTCTTCAAGAAGGTAGATTTGCTATTTTAACTTTGGAAAATTTTATTAAAGAAAAATTGTTGATAGGTGAAATGAAAGGCTTTTATCAATGTTCTAATAGAATTAATTCGTGGTGCATGGTCGGATTGGAACTTTTTGTTTTATTGTAATAAATCGATATACCGTATATTTCACGTATTATATATATATATATATATATATATATATATATGCTGTATATTTTTACGTATAATTATATAACTTATCTATTATGTTATATATTTTTTTAAATATATATATAAATTATATATATATATATATATATTATTCTGAAATTGGGGGCGTGTGAATTTGGCCAAATTTGAAAATGATAAAAAATTTTTTTTTAAAATAACATTTCTATAGTACGTATTAATATTAGAGTG